AAATTGTATAATATCGAGACATTGTTTACTTTGATACATTTTTCTTTATACATTCTCCCCTGTATACGATGTTTCATTTTATTGTAGTGAAATTACTAATGCATGTAATTAGCTACCCTAACAAACGAAATATATAACGTTGACTTTTCTCGCGCGTTAGTCATGCATTAGCAGCAACCTTTTCCCTTGTCGCTTTACGATACATCTGGTAGTCTACTCTGTCGTCAATGTTCACAGCACCGGTCTTAAATTACATTCGCTTAACAATCACCGCCAATATCATTCCATATTGTTCAACGTTGACATACGAATACACATCACTCAAGGAAATTCGATATTTCCTGTATGACGAAGTGTCTCATGTGTTTAATCCATCAAACGTCTCTCTCCTACTCTCTCTTTCTCATCTCTTGCCACCTCCGATGTAAGGACACGGATGTCGGGAGGAGAAACGGTGGGGACACAACGAGACAAGCACGTAACGAAGCGAGTCGTAAATAATGCGGACGGACAATGTTGTGAATTACGGTGGTACGCCAAACCCTTAAACGGCACGGTTTTATGTTTGCCGCGACGAGACGCGGCCGAGTCACCCACACATCGTAACGTCGTTCGCGCTTCGTTGTCGGCGGCAGCGAATGATCCGGAGACCAACCGCGTTGTCACGCTGGTAGACGCTTTTCTTTTCCGTAATTGGTGCTTTCTCCGACGACGAGACTTCTGCCGGCCTCGTACTGGCCGGGGAACGAAGGCACTGCCGGAATAAAGTCACTTTATTGCCCGTAACGTTACAAAGTGGGACTCTGACGCCTGCATTTTTACGTCTCCGCTGTCGCAACGTCGGGGGAATATCTGCAATATTACAGATATTGTATAAGTGATGCGCATGGCATAGTACAAGGAAGATCATCAGGAAAATTAATTGCGAATTTTTTATCAATCAATCTTAATTAATTAATAATGCCATTAAATAGTAATTTCTCTGTCAGAAGTCGCTTATCTATCATCAAAATATGGGTACGATAATAAATAATAGGAGACAAAAGATAAGTTGCTCTCCATAACTGTTTGACATTAACCGCGAAATGGGGCCCGTATTCTATATCAATCTTAATTAATTAATAATGCCATTAAGTAGTAATTTCTCTGCCAGAAGTCGTTTATCTATCATCAAAATATAATGTCAGTGTAATAATAAATAATAGGAGACAAGATGAGCTGCTCTTCATAACTGTTTGACATTAACCGCGAAATTGGGCGCGTATTCTATATCAATCTTAAAGTCACTAGATTAACAAAGTACCGCAATTTTGATCTCAATAAGATATGCTGGAGCAAAAATGGCGTCCGATAGTATAGATATAGACTGCGATTGTTGCATTTCTCCACGCAACAACCTGGCATTTTTGATATTTTCTTCTTTTTCTGCGCAACAGAAGGAGTTTTCTCACCTCACACACAACAGGACACAGGACAGACCAGGATCAAGGTTAGAAAAATTGCACTTGGTATAGATAGCTACACAAAGTGTGCACTATCTGCATTATCGGACGCCTTTTTGCTCCATCTTATCTTATTGAGATCAAAATTGCGGTACTTTGTTAATCTAGTGACTTTAATCAATCTTAATTAATTAATAATGCCATTAAATAGTAATTTCTCTGCCAGAAGTCGTTTATCTATCATCAAAATATAATGTCAGTGTAATAATAAATAATAGGAGACAAGATGAGCTGCTCTTCATAACTGTTTGACATTAACCGCGAAATTGGGCGCGTATTCTATATCAATCTTAAAGTCACTAGATTAACAAAGTACCGCAATTTTGATCTCAAGATAAGCTGGAGCAAAAATGGCGTCCGATAGTATAGATATAGACTGCGATTGTTGCATTTCTCCACGCACCAACCTGGCATTTTTGATATTTTCTTCTTTTTCTGCGCAACAGAAGGAGTTTTCTCACCTCACACAACAGGACACAGGACAGACCAGGATCAAGGTTAGAAAAATTGCACTTGGTATAGATAGCTACACAAAGTGTGCACTATCTGCATTATCGGACGCCTTTTTGCTCCATCTTATCTTATTGAGATCAAAATTGCGGTACTTTGTTAATCTAGTGACTTTAATCAATCTTAATTAATTAATAATGCCATTAAATAGTAATTTCTCTGCCAGAAGTCGTTTATCTATCATCAAAATATAATGTCGGTGTAATAATAAATAATAGGAGACAAGATGAGCTGCTCTCCATAACTGTTTGACATTAACCGCGAAATGGGGCGCGTATTCTATATCAATCTTAAAGTCACTAGATTAACAAAGTACCGCAATTTTGATCTCAAGATAAGCTGGAGCAAAAATGGCGTCCGATAGTATAGATATAGGCTGCGATTGTTGCATTTCTCCACGCACCAACCTGGCATTTTTGATATTTTCTTCTTTTTCTGCGCAACAGAAGGAGTTTTCTCACCTCACACAACAGGACACAGGACAGACCAGGATCAAGGTTAGAAAAATTGCACTTGGTATAGATAGCTACACAAAGTGTGCACTATCTGCACTTTCTAATCAATCTTAATTAATTAATAATGCCATTAAATAGTAATTTCTCTGCCAGAAGTCGTTTATCTATCATCAAAATATAATGTCGGTGTAATAATAAATAATAGGAGACAAGATGAGCTGCTCTTCATAACTGTTTGACATTAACCGCGAAATGGGGCGCGTATTCTTCGGGGAAACGATTGCTTCTCTCCAACCTTCACGCCCGCGACCACCGATAGCGCGGACCGTCGCGTTGTCGAGCCGGTACCTTTATTGCCCAGCAGGAGTTACGTATCGAACGTGGTCCGCGTGTCGAAGAGTCAGACGGATAAGTCCGTGGAGAAGTGGAGAGAATAATGGAGGGACTTTCTACTATCAAATAGATTTATGGATATCCAACCGGGTACCTACTACCGAGGTTTATACAGCCGCGAGCGAGCCCCGTCATGCTTTATCCGCCGTTAAGAGCGCAGACGTCTTGCAGATATTCCGCGCGCCACGCGTGAGAGAGGCGAATATGTTTATCGTTCCACGCGGCGAATTGACGCGGGAGGAGCACGTGAAAGCGGACTCTCGTATTGTTTGGATACTTTGGGGAAACTTGCTGTACCCGCCGCTGTGTTTTATGGCCAGCTTCCTGAGCAGCAACTGCGACTTTAAATTATAGCGGATGATTATAATGCCATATAAAAAGATAATAGCTCTCATGGGGTTTTAACCATGTTAAAACTGCAATATGAAAATATGAAGTCTATTATTTGATCGTGCACGGGCTTCACTGTTATTTACGGTCTGCTACGCGAGGATTTATCGTATAAAAAAATTTTATGTGCTTGAAAAATTATATAATTTATTTTTTTTTTCGTAACAATTCAAGAGGCCATTACCGCACAATACGGATTATTCGGAAGGAACAATGGAGCCGCGAATATTGACTCGGGAGAGGTCATCGAGATAGTCCATCTAGCTATCTAGCGGGATTAAATTCGACGATGATCAATACGTCTCGTGTACTGTCGCATCCTCCTCGCTTGGACTCGTTTGAAGAACACAATCGGTGGTCAATTATTCACATGAGTGACTCGGCAGAAAGGCGTTTGAACGAGATCGAAGAACAACGATACTCATCATCTAATTCTAACTCACGATTCATGATAGACCAACGTTGCGATAACCATTAGGGAACGATTCGGTCTCTACGAAAGCCGGTACTTGCCGACGAACTCTTTGACCCTTTGGTCAATAAGCTGGTCTTTGATCATCGGTTCGATCAAAATATTCTTTGCATGTAATTCGTTGATTACAATATTTTTAACTTTGATATGTTATATAAAACGTTTATGTTATAAGAATATGAATGTTCTCCCTTTTTTCACGATTTCTCTGAAAATAAAATATTTTGTTAGCATTATAATGTTTGTTCATTTTACGTACATGTGTACTGATCATATGAGATGTTAATTCCTGTTCTGTAAGCTGCGTAAGTTCCAGCAATTATCCGTTCGCTGGTTAAACCGGCTACGGTTCTCATCGCGGAGGACCGATCTGGAGTTTCACGTTATCGCGCTACATCTCGATACTTCCGTTCGCCGGAGGGCGTAATTCTGTCCTCGATCATTGCACGATTCGCTCGTCTACGATTACACGATAAAAGTATGTAAACCTGTTCGTGAATTACTCTAACTACATCGTTTCTAAACTTCTCTTGAAAGATCTACAATACCGAACCTTATCAGAAATAAATTTTAATTCCGCGTACAAAATTAAAAATATGCGTTAAGAAATATGTGCTTTTATTTATGAAGAATATTACAAAAAGAAATAACACATTTAATAAATTAAATACAAATAAATAGAAATTATAATAGAATCAAATTTGACAATTTATTTGATATCCATCTAAACGTATTTAGATTGCATATCCATCTATTTAAACGTATTTAGATTGCAAGATTAAACAACTAACAGATGGGTCGGGTTTGTCCAATTTCATATATCGGTACATTACGTAAGAATAAAATAAAAGAAGACTATGTCAATGCATAAGTGCCTTGCCAATGTTTGCCCATTTTCCAACTGTTTATTTTCAAATTAACCTCCCGTGCGTACAAACGCCCGCGCGTAACGTGCACGCGTGGCCGGCGCGTGTCACCTGTCTGTCATGGTCTCGTGAGTGCACGCCACCGCTACTTTCGTGAACACTCTTCATGGTGGCGACATGGCCGACTGACCCCCAAGACCTGCTGCTGGAGGTATCTCTGTCCGCTATTTCGAGCGTAGACTAGATAATAAAAAATATACAAAGTGTATATCGAGACATTTTTATTTTGTGTAGACATTTTATTTCATTTTTTTCAAAAAATATGAATGTAAATAGAATCTCAAGTCTTGGATCGAAATTATTAAGAGTAGTTTGTCTAAAATAATTTCTAAATTTTAGCCATCAAGATCGATATTTTAAGCTGATGCTTAATTAAAGACAAAAATTAATAAATGTGTTTTAGTAATACTGTAAAATAGTCGGATTTTCTATTATAAATGTAATTATATAATGTTATATAATGTTTCATAACTGAAGTAATCTACGGGATACAAGTCACTTAAGAATTGCAAAAGAAGGAGACGAAGGGTTGCCCGGCATCACATGCCGAGGATTCACGCACGGTTGGCGTAGACGCGCCCCGTCTTGGGGGCTGCAGGTGCAGGAGGTACTCCTTTGGCGGATTCATGCTTGCGTGATTCCAGGAGCCGGCAGGTCCTCCGCGGAGGGCCCTTCCGCCAACAAGCGAATCCTCCTGGCACGCGTTTCTGGTGCCGCTGGTGTTCTGCGAACATATGTGAAGGAATCATGCTCGACTGCGCCGCCTTGCCACCCCGCAGGTACCTCTTGGTGGTGGCCGCAGGTGGTGCGGTGCACCTTAAACTGCCACCTCGAAGCAGGTTTTCAGGAAGTCTGTAGCGTGCCGATGCGTAAACTTTAGTATGCGTAGCATTTATTATCTATCTGTACACTTGTCTAATCTTTATATAAATTTCTATTTTTTTCCATTAACTTTTGTTTACTTTTGTCATAATATATTTTGACATATATGAAAATAATTGAAGTATATATCTCTCTCCTATAGAGATTTATCATTAACATTGCCTTGTGTAATTTTAGCAATATCCATTGTGCTCCTTCTATGAAGAATTGGCGCACCGCACATGGATATTGTAGAAAATATAGCTGGTTATAAATAGTCGTCGATGGACTGTAGGAGGCTGCATAAGCACAGGACGTTTTTCATGTGACTAGATCCCGGCGATATCCCGACGGTATTGTCGGTCAGTATTTTTACCGGAGGGTGAAAATCGCAAATGTAAATCGTCACCGGGTTGCATGTTGTTGCCCACGCGTTCGGATGTTAAATGTAGAGGGATTACGGCGATCGCGCGCGTCACGGTACCGATATTTCGAATGTATCGACGACCGACATCAATCGGGGAGGGGTTTACGAAGGTGTTCTGGCGACGCGACGGTGTGCATAACGGAACAGCACGGATTTTTGCGCGCGAGGCCTCGAATCGTCCTTCTTTTCTTTTTTTCCTTCTTGCTTTTTTTAGCCACAGACGGAAGTGCCATCGATATTCAATGACGAAAGGTAAATGAATAGATAAGTTACCCAAGTTATCTCCATTGTAAAAAAAAAGGAAATGTAACGAAAGATGTTAAATCGATGGCAGATAATAGAAAGATTCTCAAATAGAAAAGATTTCCCGATGGGATAAGCATGTAAAAGTCATCGAGGTCACTCGGGGTCAAACGATAAAATTGATTCGTATGCCGTACGCATTATCGCATCCGCACGTTATTACCCTAGCCGATGGACAGTCTGCAGATGTATATATTATTTCTTAGATTCTCCTTTCTTGTTGAAGCTAAATTGCATTATACATTCATGAATTAATATCGCATTACCTACACCGGTAACGTAATCCTCTTCAGTAGTTTTAATATCTCTATAAAATTATCTTAATTCCATAAAATTATTTTAATCCTTCAGTAATTTAGTATCTCTATAAAATTATTTTAATTAATAAATATAAAATTATTTTAATCCTTCAATAATTTTGTCATCTACATAAAATTATAATTAATAAATATATGATTATTAATAATGTATAATTATTTGAAAAATGGAAAAACTTTTAATTTTGATTAATTCGTATTTAAATTCTATAGACAAGAATTTTATAAAATTATTTTAATTCTTCAATAATTTTATTATCTCTATAAAATTATTATAATTAATAAATATATGATTATCAATAATTCATAATTATTTAAAAAATTGAAAAACTTTTAATTTTGATTAATTCCTACTTAATTTCTATAGACAAAAATAAAGAGAAAATCCCAACATTTTTTCAAAAGAGATGAAAAAAACTACACTCCGATTATTGTTTCATTGTGGAAATATCGCGTGATATCGAAACGTTAAAGGATTTAATACAATTGTCGTCGTCGCCCGAGATTGAGCCGCCGTGACGTCGCTTTCATCTTACATTCTCAAGCCGCGACACGAAACTGCCGTCTCACGACGACGCTCGACAAAGAGTCGTCGTGAAACGCTCCGAAAAGTGGAGCAGCTCCCTTTTCTCGCGGGCGAGGTCAAGAAGTCTCGCGCTCCCTTTGTTCCCTTTTTCCGTAGCGGCCGCCGTCAGTCGGGCCCATTGAAATCAGGTGTTGCCGCGCGGTTACCTTTCACCATGGCAACGTATTGTTTCAAAGCAACGTGCGTTTCGTCAACTCGGCGCGTTTCCGTGTACTGCACAGGGACCACGAGCGAATGTATCGGCACGCAGGTGCGTGCTAGTCGTGCGTCGTTGCGTTGCAAGGCACTACCCGCACGATTTCTAAGATAACGGTTGACGCTCATAATTATCAGCTCTCCTAAACAGATACATATCCTTTATGCGCGCTCGGCGCAAGGTAATGCTTTGCGTTACATCCGCATTTCTACATCTGTCAGGTTTTGTCAGAATTTATCGTGGACCTTATTAGCGTATACGCAAACGATATTAGCGGTACGCGTGCAGTTTCGCGAGAGAAGCTACTGCACGATCAACCCATTAGCGCTAACCGTGTAATTCGAAAATAATTTATCCGCTTCCTTATTATCCGCTCTCTACACGGCTGTTATTATTTCGCAGTACGTGCTGCTATTCTGTCGACTACATTATTATTATGGTCCGATTATGCTACGCGCTGCTGAGAATTGCGTGCTTATCAATTCTCATCAATGGTAAAGACGGTATTAAATTAGATTCAATTATTGTTACCATCTCGTATGCTCGTTCTATTAATAATGTACTCGTCCTCGAAGCGCATTGTCAGGGTTAATAAACGCGATATTAAATTGAGATCGACAAAATTATTGTTAGAGGGGCGTGTAAATATTTTTCACGCGCATCTATCAGTCAACTTGCATTCTTGGAAATTACTACGTGCAAAATTACTTGAAATCAAATTGTATTACGATGCCTTTGCCGGACAATTTTCGATAATAACTGAGCGAGGGCGAAACATCATTATTTCGTATGTAACTCCGGTACTTTTAGCGGGATAATCGTCGTCGATTGGGATTGATCGCGCAATTATCGGTCTCAGCACGATCGTCCCATTAACGTCAATTGTCGAGCCTCCCCGGTTCGAGGCAAAGCGAATACAGGCGCGACCGGTCGCGTGGCCGGCACGCGCCTCCACCGATGACAACTTCCGTTCCTCGTACCGGAAGTCGCGCCGTGTGTCGACGCAACTGTACAGCTTGCATTCTAGATGCACCCGCCTGTATGTACGTACGTTGAGCAAGTGGCTGTCAACATGCCGCGTGCGAATAAAATGACGTCCTTTTCTTGTGCGTAAATATGCCTTCATCGTTTGGGTGCGTTCACTTATTTACGATGAAGAGACATTTTTATGATTGCTTCGAAAATTGCGTGCTTTAGTTTCTTTCTCCGAAAATAAAAATTCTTTTTTCAGATAAATAGAAAATGAAAGAATTAGAAATTAATTTCTCCCTTTCAAGTCATGCATTCCATCTCCGATTAGCTTAAGACCTTATTACTGTTGCTCCTTGTCGCAGCTACGGTTGTCGCAATCGTGCTATCTGGATGCAGCGAAATCGCGGATTTTATTAAAATCAAGATAGAACGCAACAACTTATTTACGCATTCCAAAATGGTGGCATTCCAAGATGAGCCCCGTCATAAAATTTAACTTGTAAGATGATATAGTGCCGAACCGATACTCCAACACGGGCGCAATGCGGGAGCTGCGCCGTAATAAACGCTGTTTTATTGTGTGACCCACGGTTTCGCTGCCCTTTCGTAAATAAAGAGACGCTGCCAGAGCTTCAACGTTTTTATGCTCTTACTAGATCATAAATCTCGATAAAATGTGAAATTGAGAAATTGAACGTTTTGTCGACCCTTACATCAAACTGTAAATCAAATGTTCCGTAATATCTACATTTCCTTATAACTTGATTTTGTATTTTTTAAGTCTGAATCTTTGTAATTTATTGCAAAGTAAGATAACTTTATAAAAAAAAAACTTTTATTTTTTTATATCAAATAAATTCATTTTAAAGATTACATTTTCCTGAAATTTCTTCTACAATGAAGTGATCTCTATTTTTAATGGGATTCAACCACGGAACGTAAATTTCAACTTTCGCGACTTACGACACAACCAATGACAATTCGTTTTTGTGAATATATGGCCAATGCAAGAAAAGAGAGTTGCCAACACGTGCATCTCCATCCATTTACGCGTTTGAAGGATAAAAGTTGACCTTCTTCGTGATCTTTTCCCGGTTTCTCGCTGTTGAACCATCTACAATTTAAAGACATTCGGACGTGCGCGACCCTCTTTCCTGCGTTCAAAGGAAAAAAATAACTCTCCCTCCCACTCCACCCTTTCCGGTACGAAAAAGTACTTCGCGAGAGGCCGCATCGCGACTGGCTAATCTAAAAATACTAAAGTCGACCTTTCCCGCGGCAAGAGTGATGGCCCTGGACGACTGCTAAATCAACGGCAAGATTGAGATGCAAATGCAGTCTCTCGCATTCAGCGAGAGAAGAGAAGAGAGGAAATGAGACGGCGGGGGCGCGGAAAGAAAGAAGACGCAAAGTCGGGGATGTTGTAAAAGACGAGAGAAAATGCGGAGAGCAAAGATAGGATCCAGATGAGAGGGAAAGAAAGTAAAAAACCGCGAAGGACCGCGCGATAACTGTGCAATTCGGGCAATTAACATTTATAATGTCTCCATCCGGCAGCGCTGACAGGTCAGGCGAACAACCGAGCGCGCATAAAACGCGGGATTTAACGCCGATAATTCAATCCGACCACGATTGTGCGCCGTCCCCGCCCTCCTTGTCACCCTTTGCTTCCCTCTCCGTCTTTTTATCGCAAAGTAACTTTATTAAAATTCGCGCTGATCTCGCAATAATTCATGCGCGATGCGCGCACGACTCGAGCACGTAGTCAGCTGATATCGCGGGCCCGATCTGCCGCATCTCGCGTGCGTATTTGCGGTGCGTATAAATGCGAATGTACGCGGGTATTCGCACGTTCGGAAAATGAAAATAAATCGTGTGCTATCTCGCTATATTTTCTCATTGGTGTCATCAGTATCATAGAAGGTGCAACGTCTGGAACGAACTAGTTCTAATATTGTCAAGAATGAATTCTTTTAATGAAAAATGATAAATTATAATAGCATATACAATAGATAATATAGGTACACGTAAAAATATCTAAAAACATCAAAACATCATCACG